AGTCAAAATTGAAACTGATAAAAAAAACAAAAAAAAAAACGAAGGACTACACATTAGTTACTTGGTTTTTCTCCTGTCTCGGCGTTTTGTCTTAAAATATGTTCAATCATCACCAGCTAGTCTGAGCCCTAACTTCGTGCTCATTGAAACAATATACTGTAACATCCAGTCGCTTTAAAAAAAAGAAATTTCTTGATCAGACAAATTAATCGCCAAGCGTCGCTACCTTTGTAGCAGACGTCCTCGTCAGCCTGGATCTTGAAACAGAGAGCCTGCTAAACGTTTATGCCCAAAAAATTTTCCTTTTTTAATTCACAGAAGAAGAAAAATAACAAGTCAAGCCGCAAGATCTTTTTCTGACTTCGTGATGTCGCGCACAAAAGCATGTAGAAATTACTGCACCGCGGATCTGAAGCCCATATCAAGACTACCCAGCTTGGCATTCTCCGATAGATGAGATGGCTGAGCTAACTTGTTTTGCTTAGCAGCGGAGCAAACTAGGCAGCGCTGGCCAGTGGCGTACCAACTTCTTTTTGAGTGGATGGGGGGGAGGGCAAACCAGACTCCCCCCCCCCCCCCCAGGGTCGCGGGGCGGTGCCATCGGCATCCCTTAGCCGCCGCCGGCGTTTGCCCTGGATGGCTGTTTCCGGGGGGGGGGGGGGGGGGGGGGCAGGCGACCCTCCGGTTGGTATGGCCATGGGGCTGGCACCGCGTGGCGCGGGCGAGAGCACGCGGTGAACGTGCAACGTCCACATGAGACTAGCAGGAACAACGGTGCCACGAGCCATAGCAGTTTCTTGGCTACACGGATCGGTGTCGCCATCTAGGAACCAAATTTTAAGCTTCTTCAAGATGGCCGCTGTGGGGCCTCAGCGTCAACACGGCCAGTTGTGCCATCCGAGATAATTTGAAGCGACGTGTGTCGCAAGACGTCGTGTTGCCTGTTTCTTCTTTTTTTTTTTTTTCTAACGTTGAAACTACAATATTTACTTATTTATTTACAAGATACTGCAGTACAGTAATCTGGCCCAAGCAGGAGTATGGGGTTCCTCTTCGCATGATACCCAGCCCCGGGGCACAACACTACCCGTACAAAACGTTGTGCGGGTCATGAAACCGCCCCGCACAACGGGGAGGTTCCATGAAATGCTTTTTCACTATTATTTTTGTTCTGTCAAGCCGTTTCTGTTACTACAGTTATCCCGTAATACTCGTTCCATCATGTTAATGAACCGCGTCCGCAACTTTTTCTTGATTAGTTTTCGGGCAGACGCCTACTCATTGGCGTTGTTTGTGCCCTTTGTGTTACCGGCAACCTGACCGGCACAGTCAACGACGCAAAATAATTCGAGCGAGCTGGAACATGCTGCCTTTGCGCATAGAAAAAGCACGGGGGCGGAAGTTCGTCAATCGCGTCCGGCGAGATATCTAGCTGGGGTGGCCGTGCTCACGTCACTTCGACGACACGTGTGTGATATTTTTCTCAGATTCTCCGCGCGCTTACAAATTAAGCGGCTGCTCTACCCATCAGACGGTGTAGCGGAAAAGCGAGGGCTGTAACAAAATTGCCCCCACTTTGCCCACTGTGGCCTCAGCGGCAGCTGAATCCCGAAGAAAAGCTCACCCACATTTTCTGGGGTCCCGTGAAACCCTTGGCAGTATTTTGACAGACGAAGAAAAAAGCTCGCATTGCATTAAATTGTTATGGGTCCCGAGATTTTCTCCGCATTTGGCGCTCTTGTGGCGAGTTTATTTCTGCTTGCTCTTCAGCGGCGAGCTTTTCGTCACCTGATGGCCCGGCGAAGGAGCTGATACAATTTTAATACCGCTTTCAGTCGGGGTTCCGGTGCCGTTTAAACGCGTTACTTTGGTTATGATCACACGACCCACTAAAGCCGGGTCGGTCATTGCTTTGAGCGGAGTTGATCCTTAAAAAAATGTTAACCGTACTTATTACTTTTGGTTTTCCGAGAAAAATAGTTCCTTTCCGCGCTCGTATCAAACACCGCCCAATATTTGCCGCAGCAGAAGCTACGACAGAAGCTACACCGAAAACCAACGAGAATTTTCTCCAAAGAAATACGAAAGATCTCTGGGAAGGATTTTATTCCGGTCTTCGCCACGCCGAAGTCTTCATTCCAAACCCTGCCTGCAGGTACACTACAACACGAAAGCGGCGCGCGAGACCGGAAACTTTTTTTTTTTTTTTTTTTTTTTGTGGCAATTTTTTTTTTTTTTTTTTAAGTTGAGTTTGCGCCACTCGGTGAGCGAGGAGGATGACTTGGCTGGGTGCAGGTCGGGAGTTTTCCCACCTTGACCAGCATTAGATAGATAACAAGGCCTTAGGGATGAATTCCCTACGTCATACGCCGGAGGCTCACCGAATGAATACACGAGTTCCAGCTGAACGTAGCACTCGTGTTTCATCTGGCCCGCGCTCGCTTCCGGCTAATGACGTAGAATGTCGAGTAGTAAGGCCTTGTTATCCATGCGGTGGCGCCATGGCGGACGTTCCTCGGGCTGCTTCCTTGACTGACAAGAAGGTTCGAGGGCGGCACAGCGACAGAGCAACCGCCATCGATCCACGCGGCGGAGTGGTCACTGTGCACGCACACGAGCGTCGCCGAACGTCAACTCGGCCTAGGGTTCCCAGCTGCCGTCGGGTTAGAACACGGGGTCCTTCGAAAGCGCACCCCTCTCCGCAGCACGACACGCCACGCCGTGAGTCCAGACGCAAGGAGGCGAAGAAAGCGGAGGAACAAGGAGAAAGCGCGAGCAGTATAAGCAGGCCCTCATTGCCCAGGTGGTGTCTCACTAGGGCAGGTTTCATTTTGTGTGCGAGCGAAGCTCCAAGCTACCAGCACGAGCATGTTGCCCCGAACGGCGCTTTCGCTGCACGAGGACGCTTGTTTGAAAGGGACACTTCAAGCCCAGAGCTCGCACTTGTAGCCTCTGCGTATCTGCTGCGCTGCAGCACCTAAAGAGAAATCGGGTATAGGCCTCAACCTCTTCGACAAAAGAAGGGAACCACCTCTCAGCAAGATGCCGGCGAAAAAACAGGTAAAAAGAACCAAAAAAAAAAAAAAAAACTTGTTCTACTTTGCAAGCGGACAACAAGGTTTTGGGAGTGTATGCACCGAGCCAACGTTTCGACGATGTACGCAGAATTAATTTAGATTACCTGGACCGAAACCCCGAGTAGAGTGCACTAGAAGGACCGAGTGGGGCGACCGGAGTGCTATTTAGGTACCTCCGCATGGGGAAAAAACCGGCTAATCCAAGCCACTTCGCTGGTAGCGCCCTCTCGGGCACTACGAGCGAAGCGGTTCGGATTAGCCGATTTTTATGAAAAACGCGTGGCGTTCCAAAGCCAGGATCGTTCCACAAGCGGTGGCGCCGAAAAAACGCTTCGGTCGTCTCACTCAGACCTTTCTAGTACACTCTACGAAGGTGGCGCTGCGATCGAAGTGGCTTTAGGGTGCCTACATGTCTGTCTGTTTCAGGGTGAAGACATCCATTGTTGCCCTGGATGTGTCAGCGCGTGACGCTCTCGAGCGCTCGGTGCGTGACTTGGGCGGTAAAATGGCGTCTATGCGCTAGCCAAAGCTACGCGCTCGAGCTGACTGACACCGGATTGCGCGCACTTCAAAATGCATAAAAAAAACGACTGGGCGGAAAAATGGCTGAGATGTCACCACTCAAGCAAAAGCGCGCGTGTGTATGAAGGCACTCTAAGTGGCTTCAGTCCACCTGATCGCTTTCCACATTTTGAGGTGCAACTGAAAGCATGAGCGGAGCCTGTAGCTCGTCCCACTCGTTCCTTCTAGTACACTCTACCCCGGGTTAATAAGCGGCACACACGCCGGAAATAAGCCTCGGCATTATGGCCCGCACTTACTAATAACTATACCCGTGCTAACCACCCGCATTTAATAAAGTTTACTGTCGACCATCCTCTTTCCGCCAGTGGATCAACGTCCTCGTAAAATATCGTTCTCTCGGCCCGTAAAATATATTTTTTCGTTGCAGCAGAACTAAGAGGGTACAGGACACTCTCCCCATTTGCATTAGACAGAACGACGGCCGTACCATAAACCACCCCTGGTGGACTGGTTTACTTTGCGACGCCTCTCTCTCCCACCCCACTCCTCTCGCCGCAAAAGCACGTGACCAGGCGACGCCTCGGAATGCACTGCGATTGACGGGGTCGCGGATGCCAAGACGGTACCGCTGTCACGCGTGTGGCCGCAGGTCTTCGTTGTCGGCATTTTCTACGTATTTTCGGGTAGTGTTGTGTATTCCCCTAGAAACGTATTTGCTGCAGTTCTCAAATTTGTCACCACCCTCGGCGCTCGCTTCATTCTACACTCGGCCCAGTCATCGCATCTGTGAGATTTCAAGTGAACTCCAGAGCTGAGCGCCGGTTATCGACACTTCCTTTCCTCGTCGTCAAACACCACCAGGGTAGCAATCGAGACGTTTTCGCATGCCGTGATAACGCTCAGCACCGCCAGAACCAAACTGAAAAAGTACCCCGAGCAAACCGTTGCGCCCCTGACAATCACCTTCCCCATTTAGTTCAGCGGGTAACGCGGTGTAAGATGGCGCTCTCGTCGAGATATTCTCCGCCTCTCCAACTGAAGTAATGTTGTCGCGCCTTGGAAACTGAAAGCGTAAGCTGCGATGTTGACAGAACGTTCCTTCAATTCAGGTATGCCCAAAGACCGGACAGATATAGGTTGGTGACAGAGATGCTGGGCATGCGGAAAATTATGAAACCAACGAGGATTACGAAAAATCGAAAATCCCAAATGAGATCAGATACCATGTTTCGATGCAATCTTGCGCACTTTACCGATTCAATCGTGGAAAAAAAAACGCATTTGAATCCGATGAACACTTGTTATCGTTAATTATAATAAATATATATATATATATATATATATATATATATATATATATATATATATATATATATATATATATATATATATATATATATATATATATAATACGAAAATCCCGTTTTATCTTCTTAAAAACCCCGATTTCTCTTCCATTACCAGCCTGGAACAAAGCACCCAATTTTTACTCGCCTTTTTTTTTCTTTTAATATAAAACCCGAAAAAGTACGAATCTATAAATATCAGATGGCACGGGTGCGTCCACAGATCAGTTTCTCAGAATTTTTCACTTGTGTGATAAGCGGTGGAAAGGTATACGCGGGAGGCTAAGCTAGAATTTGAAGCTTCGCTTACTCTCCCCCCCCCCCCTCCCCTTTATATCGCAACGAGTAACTGCCCAGCTGTAGGCTAACACCACGTAGGTAAGAGAGGACCTGCCCGACCTCCTTCAACACGCTCAAACACGTCGAGCGTGTGCACGCTGCGCGCACAAGGATGCGCTCCCGCCACACCTGCTAGACGACGAGGCCGCGGTGCTGGACTTCCCCTTCCAGAGGTTAGCGCGGGATGCAGTGCGGACACGATGTGGCGGCGTTCGGTCGGGTCCTCGCCAATTGCAAACCGGCCGAATACGGCACTGGTGTCTGCGACGCGCACGCCGCGCTGGGCCCAGAAAGCCCGCGGCCTCGCTCTCCGGGTGTCGAACGTGCTCGCGCGTCTCCACTTCCTTCGCTTTCTAGCAGCAGCGCGCATCTTGGCGCTGCCGCGGAAAGAAACCACTTAGAGTAATCGAAGCGCGAGCACTAGCAGTCTGACGTCGTTGCAGTGAGATCGAACGCAGACACACGATGGACAAGGGTACAGGGACAGCCACGCAGTGGACAGGGCGCCCGGTGCCGGGGCCGATCGCCGAGTTGGCGCCGTCCGAGTGCGACGACATCATCACGTGGAAGTAAAGGTCACGGGCTTCGATGATTCTAGCTGGTTTTTTGAAAGGAGGCCGTGGACAGCGGCCCGCGCGTTCGGGGCGACGACGTTCCACGCGGGCCGGGCGCTCAGCTGCTCGTCGCCACGGGGCAGGGGCTGGTCCAGCCGCCGAAGGCCCGCTCCAGCTCCCTGGCGGCGGCCAGGCCCAGGTGGTCCTGCATGCGTCCCGCCACCAGCTGGACGCCCAGCGGGGTGCCGGCCGAGCCGAGCCCCATGGGGCACTGGGTCACCGGCAGGCCGATGAAGTTGAAGATGGCCGTGTAGGCGTAGTTGAAGGGCTTGAACAACGTCTGGTGGTGGAACGGGGCCGGCTCCGGGTGCGACGGGTACACGAAGAGCGCCTGTCCGGAGCCCAGCAGCTGGTCCAGCTGGTCCCGCAGCCGGCCGCCCCGGGCCAGCTGCCGCTGCACCGACGGGTGGCTCTTCTTGGGCGATAGCCGCTCCAACAGGCACAGGGCCAGCGCCGGCAGGGTGTGTGGCGACCGCCGGAACAGCCAGCGGACCAGCTCCCACCACACGCTCACCTCGCCCTGCACGCATTCACGTCGGCTCTCCATATATATCGGAGAAAGCATCAAAACGTGGCGCGTGAATTTGCGACGGATTATGAGTACCTCCTCCCTGCCCCTCATTGGCCCCACAGAACCTAGCTCGTGTCACTGACGATAGCCAACATCTCCTAAATAACGAAGCCCAAATGCTCGGTTTCCTACGTCATATCTCGGAGGCCAGGCTCAGATTGAGAGTGCTGCGTGAGCTTTCACCTCGTGTGTTTTCACACACTGAACACGAGTCGCAGCCCAATCCTGACGAAGCACTCATGTCCAACCCCGAGCTGGCACCTCATAGGGGACGTAGGCAACCCAGCACTAAAGCCTCGTTATCTACGAGGTGCTGAGAGAGCGAGACACTGGCGAGAAGGTTGCCTAGCTGCTGCCATATTATTACGAATGCATAAACGAATAAACGAAAGAGCCCGCATCGCACCTTGAGCAGGGCCAGCTCTGCCGCGAAGGACGGCACCGTGGCTGCGGCCAGCCGGGCGTTGAAGATCTGCACCGAGTAGCGCAGCTCCTCCAGGTGCAGCTCCACCTTGGCCGAGCCGTGCGCGGACGCGAAGTGCGACACCACCTGTACCCAGGTTCAGCAGCACGCGAGAAGTCCTCCATTGAAACTATGCTTCGTATAAGGGCTAAGTAATAAAGACATAGTTTATATTAAAGGTGCTCGCTTTATACTTTTTTTGCTCTCGTGGATATTCGCCTCGATTCGCGTTCAAGAATAACAACTATTCCACATTTCACATTATCCAAAAATGCTATATCTGACAGAACCATTTCGATCGCAAAAACGTTAAAAGCTGGGCTTTAAAAGAATGCGCGAAAAAAAGAGATAACAGAAAACACACACAAACAACGCTTTTTCTGTTTCGTGTGTTCCTCGTTATCCCAGTTTTTTTGCGCGTTTAGAAAACATATTGAAACCGTGTAGCTCGTTAAAGAGCTACGCGATGCGGGAATAGACCAGAAAATGCTGGACAAACGAGCCTGTACCGAGCAGCTACGGGAAGATTTCGACTGGGACGGACGTTGCACTGGTGCGCTTTTATGCGCAGATTGCCACGTGGGAGACGTCCGCGGGCCCAGGTTACCAGTGGTGACAGAAGACATACATATCTAGGCGCGGAGGTTACTTCAGGCTGCTCCTACAGCAAAGTTGACACCCGATATGCTCAAAACGGAGCGGCCAATCAGAGCATTTGCACGAGCTACAAGACAAAAAACTGTCCCGTCAGAATGAAAATTTCGAGATTGCAAGCGTATCGGTAGCGTACGGGGCTACCATCCTTAACATAAACCGTGAACGGTGCGATCCATCTTTGGAGATGCTCCAATAAATAGCACATGCAGACCCGTTTAATAAGCGCACGGAACTACACCCCTGTAGCACATCTAAAGATCGCCCACCCCATATTTTTCCTCTTTTATGCCTTCACCCTGAATAGACGTTCTTTCGGGACCTTGTGGTAGGTTCATCTGTCGAAACTTAATTCTTTCATGACGTCACAGGTATGACACTTTCGAGGAGGATGCCCAAAACATGTTATCGCGAGTTGTTCCCTAGATGTGTAAAGGAGCACAAGCGTTCGCGGAATGTGCACGCCGCTCTCACAGATCGCCAATGGTCACCGTGCAAAAGCGTACCTTTCGAACTGCTTCCTTCATCTCAGGGTGAACCGGAGTACACAGGGACCTGCCACCGTCATCCACCATGTAGTAAAAGGTGATTTGGGACCAGTCCACCTACGCACGAGTGTCACCGTTCAGTGACTTCTTTCACCATGACAAGAAGTAAAAACAGGCAAGGCCACGAATGAAAACCAGCTGTTTCAAAAGTTGACGGGAGCACAACGCCAAACCTTGCCAAAAAGAGAACACGGGGCACTCTCTGCTGTGTTCACCATTCCTCTCAGCCATTCAGAGAACCTGGTTTTGTCATCCTACTTGATTAAACTTGTAACTTAGTATATGAAACGGTATCTGATGCGCTTTTTGCTTGGCACTTTGCTGGTAAAAGTTCCTTAAAGAAATACTTGAAACATTTTTTCTTGAGAAAATAGGTTCAGAAGTCAGGTCACGAGAGGCTCCATGAAACGCCATTTCTTGAAGCGTAAAAGTACTTGATCCTACTTGATTAAACTTGTAACTTAGTATATGAAACGGTATCTGATGCGCTTTTTGCTTGGCACTTTGCTGGTAAAAGTTCCTTAAAGCAATACTTGAAACATTTTTTCTTGAGAAAATAGGTTCAGAAGTCAGGTCACGAGAGGCTCCATGAAACGCCATTTCTTGAAGCGTAAAAGTACTGGGTCTTAGGCTAGTTGGTGATGAACGTTTTGAACCATGGTTAAAATTGCTAAAAAAGACAGTTGTGAGCAGCGCCCGTGTCTGGCTTCTCTTGTGTTCGTCTTTTTAGTGCTTTTAACCATGGTTCAAAAAATCATTCCTTGATTTTGCCAAAAAAAAAAAAGAATTGGCTTTGATTTTTTGTTTGATGCATCTGAGGATTTCGTGGTAGACAAATATGACTCCCGATCATCTGCAATGCGTTGAAAGACACAGCTTCGTAAGCACCTTTGCCATTTGTCCATGTCTCCTTCCACAAATGAGCATGTAAGCCTACCTGGCAAACGACCATCAATCTCACTTGAGACGTGAAATTGCCGGCTTTTGTAAATATAGGGTGTTAGGAGTACTCCGGTTGGCTCTAAAATATTCTGCAAAATCGGTGCCTGCACGTAGCGATCTCAGATTTTCATCGAGGATTCACATGATGAATTTTAACTTGCGAAATTTCTAGGCGTTGCCCTCTTCCCCGCGAAAAATTAGACCGACACTCTTGTCACGATCATCGACGGACATGTTCGCAGGCGACTGAGTTAGCGATAGTTGTGGTGACTTGCGGCGCAGAATCCTAATAGACGCAGTGAACAGACTATGCGCCCAGATGAAAGCAAACGACACCGCCGTCTACTCGCTGCACCTATCGGGAGATGGCGTCACAAGCGCAACCGTCACTACCTCGGTGTCTGCGTCGTCGTCTACCGTTGGCATCGGCAAGCATGTTAGTCTCATTTTTTCGCAGAATAGAAGCTTAGTCTTGAAATTCCAGACGGTAAAATCCGCCACTAAAAAACATCTCGGGCGAAAATTTCAGATCGCTACGTGCAGGCGCCACAGTCACCGGCCAATTTTAGAGCGAGCCCCCGTGTTCGTGACACCCTGGAGTAAAAAGGGAGACGGTGCCTTTGCGTCCAGCTTGACGAGGGAGCGGTTGTCCCCGGCCATAATGGCCAGCATGGCAGGCAGGTCCTCGGCATAGCGGCACATGGGGCCCGCAACCAGGCAGGCGTCCAGGGAGTCGTCCCTGGCCGGAGGGTACTGGCCCTTGTTCGACACCAGCCCTGCAACAAGTGCAAAAGAAGGGCTCTGGACCACCGCGCCTCCCGGCGTGCCTCGGCACCACCCACCGGTGGTCGGCTTGTGACCGAAGATGCCGTTGAAGAAGGCTGGTATGCGGATGCTGCCGCCGATGTCCGTGCCGATGCCGATCACCGACCCGGCACTCGCTATCAGGCTGCCTTCTCCACCTGCGCGGGAAAGAACCCAGTACCGCGCTGTGACGACGTACCACTATTGGCGACGCGCCCGATCAAACGCGTCGCTCTGATCGTCGTTCGCGATGGGCCCGATGCCTTTATGAAACATGACGTCTTTATTTGGATTAATTTTGCTTACATCAACGGAAATAAGAACACGACCAGGAAAATCCTGGTCGTGACGTCACAAAAATAAATTATAAGAGGGCGCCAACGAAACACCTCGGCGCCAGGGCCGTATATAGAGAGAGTTTGGTCTTTCATTGGGAGGTGTAGGAGGCAAATGAGGAGGCGCCATTGGCCAAAAAGCGGTCCGGGTGCGTTCCAGGGCGTCTTTACAAATTCAAAGGTGGCCAACCAGAAGCCGGAAATAATACCGTGGCGATGGTCGCGAGAAACAAACTTAATAAGTGCGTCGGAGTAACTCTCGGTGACTGAAAATACGGTGCACGTGATCTTTCAATCACGGTCATCCATAATCAGGGGGGAACAGCGCGACTACCGATCGACATAATCCGTCCGCAAGGTGCCGAAGGCCGGTAATCTACCGTCCGAGCGGTCACACACTGTCCGAGCGAAACAGAGTTCGAGGAGAACATTCGTTTCTCACATCTTTTTGCACGATCATAATCGAAACATCACGTGCACCATAATTTCAACCATAAAGAGTTACTACATTTAACCCTTACGCTCTTATTAAAACTGTTTCTCGCTACCACCGCTAGGGGATTCTTTTCGGCTTCTGGTTGGCCAAGAGAGCATGCCAAGCCCTCTCTCTGCGTCTGGTGCACGCCCTGGCTCTGCCCGCGCTCCTATCATTGACCAAACTCTACACGGCTGTGCTCGGCGCTAATAGTCACGGCAGGGATAGAACGAGAGAGAGGAGTTTCAGTGGCTCCGCCTCTAGCCGGAGCTTCCCGCGTCTCGCGAGCCTCCAGCGCGCGCGTGCAGTCAAAGCAGGACGGAAGGCACCGAGCGCGTGCTGGAGGCGTCCGAAAAACACGTCATTCCCATCTTGTTAGTTACTGTTGCGGAAAGACTCTTTCCAGTGGACATAGAGGTAAGTGCGTTAAGTTAGCGCTCTTTTACTCCTACGCGCTTGCGGCGAGATTCGTACTTCGGGAGCAGCGACTAGACGAAGAATAGCGTGCCAACAAGACACATGGCCACTTCTTGTCATAGGGTTACGATACGAGCGCCGAGTGACACTGGCGTAAGTGACAGTGGTGAAAATCCTTTCTAAGGTCACAAGCGTGTCCGACCGTCAGGGCGTAAAGTTACGAAGTCAGCGACGCCGTGAACCTTTGAATGTTTGAATACTCTGAGGAGGGGGGGGGGGGGGGGGGGAGGGGGGAGTTGGAAACTCGTCTTGAGCAGAGACAGTCGTTTTGACCGGCACAAATTGATATACATAATGCCCTATAAGTTAATTCTGATAAAAAAAAAAAATGGGTCGTCAATTTAGAGAAGTTGTTCAAAAGTTATCAAGGACGCGTCAATACTCCCCGATCAGCGCACAACCGTTAAAATAAACCGCATTCATTTAACTCCAAACAAGAGACGCGAATAAATATTTTTTTTCCTTGACGAAACGTTGCTAGAATCTTTGTCTTTGCATTCTAGTCGTTTTTACTTCCTAAGCAAAGTGTTCCTGAACTAAAAAAATATAACCAGCAGCCTTGACTGTTTTCTGGTTTCAACAACGTCACGAAGTTCGTGATAGCCATACTACTTGTCTATCACCTATTACCTAGATTTTCGCGATAATAGACCCTTTTCAAAAGTCAGAGTCCTCTTGTGGCAGTATAAAAAGCTCCATTATTGCCGCTCTAATGGCGGTGATAGGAGATCATGCGCGGCTAAATCAAACACCCTCGATTCCGTGCATCGAAGGTGACGTGAAAGGACCAACATCTTTTCCTTTTTCTGCTCTATGCTTTCGAAGACGTTCGATTTTTCTGGTGTGGAGAAACAGTGTAGTTCCGCCATTAGAGCGTCGGGTCTGGCTCTGCACAAGGTGGGTAGACTGACTTTCGTAAAGGGTCTATTGCGATTCGAAAAAACGACTTCCCCAATCTCAAGCCGGGGTCACACTGCTCACACCATCCTACAAAACACAGTCTGCAAACAGAAGTCACCGCAACATCCGTGGTTCGAATGCCGCCTGCCAAGTTTCTTCCTTGAACTCGTTGCCATGCGGCATTCGAAAAACGGATCTCGCGGTGACTCCAAATTCGAATACGAATGTAGACTGCCTTTCGTACGACGTATAAGCAGTGTGACCCCGGCTTTAGGTACGCTGTCGCGGACACCTTTTAGCGTGTCTGGAGGACTGTCACGGTTGTCAACCCGAAGACGAGAGAAGCGGTAGTGAGAGGAACGCGAGCAGCGCGTGGAGCGCGCGCCGACATTCGAACGCTGGTCTTCCCGAGGGCCGCAAGCACCGGCGTCCGGGCTTCGCTACTGAGGGCGAGGGCACTTCAGAACGCCGAGCGCTGGTTAGAACGATCACTGGATAGACCTAAAGCTATCTGCCTTTGTCTCCAACGCACTCGTCGAACGCGGAACGCCGGCATCCGGCATATCTGCCTTTCACATTCGAACGCGTTGGACGAGTGCAGTGGAGACAAAGGCAGCTAGCTTTACGTCTACCCACTGTCAGGTTATTCGTTGGCGTTTTGGGGAGTTCGTAGCTGATCGTAAGTTTTAAGGCGTAGACTGGGGTTGATTTAAAATTAACGAGACGTTTATTAACTGGGGTTACAATAGTTTACACAAGGTTACATTATGTCGGAAGGAAGAGCGGTCGTCCCGTCCGTATCGTACGGCGTTCCAGAGTCGTCTCTGTTGTGAAGGTGCTTGTTAGTGAGACGTAACCCGACGCCTTGCTCCTCTCGCCTCGGAATCCCGCCCGGTGCAACGAGAAAGCCCAGACTGGACGAATTTTTCGGTCGACTGTCTGGGTCTCTGTCTGGCAGGCTCAGTGGCCGTCCGCGCGGAAGGCGCGTGACGCTGACACGCCCTCCTTTAAATATGATCTGTCCTCAGATCACCAGGTCCCTCGGCCATGGTGAAAAGTTCTGCCGGATTCAAATCCCGTTCATTGTAGAGACGAATTTGTTCCACGTTGACTGTCTTCACATTTCATTTTCCATGCGCTGGCGAAATTCGGCGAATCGTTACCAGGTTGTCTCCGAGGGTGTCGGTTACCTCATAGAGTCAGTCGAATCGCGCATCCAGGGTGTCACTTGTGGCGCCGATCTGGAGAAGAACGGTGTCTCCTGTTCTAATATCTGGAGTTTCACTTTCTCTGCCGTACCGGCCGGAGCCTGGAGTACCCTTGGCTTGCCCGCAGGCTGGCCCTGGTCTCGTCTCGGTTTTTGGCCAGCTCGTGAACCCTTCGGGTATATCTTCGTCGACCGAACCGATGTTAAGTTCTCCCGGAAGCTTCGGGTTGTATCCGTGCATAAGCCAGAATGAGCTCCGGTCGCTGTGCTTGTGCTTGCTGACGTTTATGGCCAGCGTCGCGTCGTTCAGCCCTCTGCTCCAGTCATGTCGTTGTCCGATGATCTTCCGAAGCACCTGCTTCAGAGACCCAACCATTCTCTCGACGAGACCGTTCGACTGCGGCCAGTACGGTGGAGTGTTGACGTGTTCGATGCCAAGCCGACGATGGAGCGCTGTCATGCGTTTGTTGACAAAACCTCGTGCTCGATCGGTAACGATGACTTCCGGCACCCCAAATCGAGGAATGCATCGGTTCATCAGAAAGTTCACGCAATGCGTTGATTCGGTGCTTGGTACTGCCACTGCGTCCATGTATCTTGTGGCGTGGTCAACACATACGAGAATGTAACCATTGTATTCGATCGTGTCGATTGGACCGAGGTGGTCCAGCGGTATCACCACGTAGGCTCGTTCGGGATGGCTCGAGGACTCAAACAGCCTTTGCTCCGTGTTGTGCTCGCGTTAATTGTCTGACACATGTGGCAGGACTGTACGTAACGACGCATATCTTTGAGCAAAGTCGGCCACCAGTACTTTCGTAGGATGAGTTTCTTCGAGTTTTTCGTTCCCACGTGTCCTGAGTTGTGAAAAATTGTCCTCACAGACTCTCGGAGCGTGGCGGGAACGACAATTCTTTTTACGAAACGTCCTTTCTCCGTTCTTTTTTTTTTTTTTTTTTTTTTTTTTCGTGAGGACGTCGTTCTTTTTGTAGTACGGGCGGTTTCCGTCGCTCGCCAGTGACTTTAACTTCTGGCATTCTGCGTCCCTCGCCTGCAGGTTGCTCAGGTGACTATGATCTCTTGCTACGATGTCGTAGCATGTCAATCCTTAACCCGCCGGTACCGTTTTGAGGATGTCTCCTGGCATACTCTGACTTTCTCCCTGTCGTGGGAGGGCATCCGCTGCCATGTTCAATATTCATGGCCTGTGAACAACGTCAAACGTGTATTCAGCAAAGTCCAGCGTCCATCGAGCGAATCGGCGATTCGTTGCTCCCTTTTGTCCCAAATACGCCACGCTGAAGTTGTCCGTAAACACAGTGAAACGCGGCCCACCCCGTGGGTAAATAGAGAACTTCTCTGTCACTGCCCAATGCAGCGCCATGCATTCGAGCATGTTGGAGTGAAGTTTGGTGTCGTGTTTGTTCAGCGATCGGCTTGCGTATTCGATCACCCGTTCCTTGCCGTCTTGCAACTGACTGAGTATGGCTCCGAGGCCGGTCTGGCATGCGTCAACGTGCACATACGTCGGGCAGTCTGGTTGGAAGCTCGCAAGAAGTGGAGGGTGTTTGAGAGCGTGCTTCAGAGAGTCGACCACGTCTTGGTGTTCATGCGTCCACACAAAAGGTGTCCCTCTGGCGATCAGATCTCTTAATCTACGAGTACGTGCTGAAAAATCGGGGATGAACATACGGTAGTGTTGGCGAACTGTAGGAACGAGTACAGCTTCTTGGCGTTCACGTGTGGTTGAAACTTGTCGACTGC